CTTAAAGTATTTAAACTAATTAATTTTCAAAATGAAATATGCAGGAACCTAACATACATGGTGTTATATAATATTATGCATTTACAATTTTGAAAAATGAAATTTGAAAAAAAAAAAAAACATCTTTGTTTTTGCTGTATGCGTTTAAAATATTCCGCATTAAAATAACAAATTAAACTAATATAAGGACTTAATGTCATAAAAATATGACACATTTTCATATAATAACAATCATAATAATAATTAAATGTGTCATTCAAATTTGAGCGAGTGTCATTTTAAATTAAGTTAATGCTGTTTACAGAAAAACATCTGAGAATTCTATATTATTAATAACCACAAATTTTAAATATGACAACAAAACAAATTTAACAAAAACCCAAATAAATCATGAGGGCAATAATTTAAATATTAAATAAATATAATGCAGAATTTTGGCATTTGTTATTACTCAATTATAATCTACTGGCCCCCTACTGAGAAATAGCATCACTTCATTTGTTCTATCTAAACCTCCTCATTTAGAAACAAAACGCACATTTGTGCGAGTAAACTGTACGCATTTCTAAGATTAAATGAATCAAGGTAGTTCTGTTTTTGAAATCTAATTTATTTTTTAATGTTCGCACTTCTGAAAACAACAATTGTGAACCCTGAACTGTTTATGTATTTGGACCAACCATTTAATAAGAGAATAGATCTCTTTAATCTTTTATATTATTTTTTCATTGCATAGAAGTTTCTTAAAAGCTTTAAATATTATTTTATAGTTATTCTTTTTTATACTTGTATATTATTAGAATAGAAAGTGGAAGATAGCTGACATTTTAGTTCTTGCTTTTGTTCATTCCCTTTATGCTTTTGCAATATTTTTTTGTTCCCTGTTGCACCATTATCAATTTTTAATCGTTTTCATTTTGTTGAATGTAATCATACATATGTTTTTGTATATATATATAGTGGTAGTAGCTTTAAAGGGAACTAGAGATAAAATAGAAATCTTATTATGCTTTCATTACAAAGGTACACATTGGAAATTCTATTTAATTTTTACTTGCTTTTTTTTGTAAGAAAAATATAGAAGATAAAAAAATCGTTATTATTATAATAACATAAATTTAATATAATAAATTGAATTAAATTATAAGGGATTGTAGTTGTGAAGGCTCCACTTAAAAGACAATATAATGTATAATGTCACTGAGAAGCTAATTTATTGTTGCATATAATTTAATGAGTTTTAAGATATTATTTCAATGCTAATCGGATTTCTTATACTATTTAAAAGTCATGTTCTTAGACTAAATAAATTATTGTGTAAGCAGTTTTTGTTTCTTTAATACGTGTCTAAAGAAGGACATTGCAGAGAATAATTACAGTTTATATAAAATATAAATCTTCGATAAAGATGGGCCAGGCGTACATACAGTAAAAAAATGTATGTAGAACGGTAATATGTGATTCCGATCTTTTTTTAATAAATCCTGAGAAATTGCAAAAATATTAAACAATCAAGAAATTCTTTCTTTCTTAAAATTCTTATTCCAAAATACTGTACAACATCCAACAAAAACAATATACAAAAATTTTACATTCAAACATTTTCATTCGCTTGGCCTTAGTCAGTTGACTTCTTCTTACATTTATAAATACCTGAATGGAGTCAAAAATTTAATTTCCTCTCTTTTCTAACCAGATTGGTAAGGTTACTATAATTTACCAACCATTCAATAATGATATTGTAGTCTCACCAAATTCCATTAGTCACATTCAGAAATCTATTTATCTATGTATGTTGAGGAAAACATAAGGAAAATATATTATATGCTATCAATACCGTTCAACAAAGTACTGTTCAGGGAGGTACTGTTATATAACTTACAATTTTCAAAGATTTTAATTAATGGTTAAATCTTTCAATTTTCCCTGAACATTCTCTTCCTTTTGCCTAACTCCCTTCCTATACGAGCAGCCAACTCTATTTTTGATTTATGTCATTTTGGAAGCATAAAATTCGGCCGGCTAAATGAGAATGTTTGTAAGAGAGGAAAAATTTAAACAATTTTCTCTTTTTCTCTTCTAATTTAATACATACATCACTGCCATGCTACTGCCCTCGTTAGTATAAGTAAAATGTCCAGGGCTGTTCGTACATAAATTAAAATTTAATAATGAATAGTAAAATTCGATGCGTAATAATTGGATGTGTTGTTTGTGAATCATGCCAAATTCTTTAATAAAAATTGCATAAAATTAATATTTAATTAAAAATATATTTCCAAGACCTTTACAAGTAATTAAATTTTTAATATAAAAAAATATTTGCAAAATTAAAAAAATTATTTTTACTTCGGTATTCCTAAAATTTCTCTAACACAAAACTATCAAAAAAAAAATTATACAAAAATATTTTTTATTTTTCAACAACTAAAGCACGTATACAAAAATTATCCTTTAGCACCTGATTTCTTAGTCCTTTTTCCGAAAAAAAAACATAAAAAATGAAATTTACATTTAGGTATAGGAATTAAAGAAGAGAATGAAAATGTCACGTCATATTCAAAAGTTGAGATCTCTTAATCGCCATGGTAAAAATATTACATACGTATTTGATGAAAATTTGTACACGCAAGAATAAAAATTATCTTTAACTCTTTAATTTTTTATGTCTTCTGTACAAGTAGGTTTCAAAATCACTAAAAAAAAGCACATATTTTACAAATTTTTATATCATACTTAAAATTATTCTTAAATTATATTTTCATGTTTCATGTATTCAAAAATAATGGAACATTATGACAGTCGCATGAATATTTTAAATGAATTCTGAATGAAGAATTTTTGAATCAAGTTACATATATGCAAAATAAATCAAGTAAGAAAGAGGATCCTAAAAATTTTATAATTTTGAGTGACACACTTCCAAAACGTAGATAATGAATACTGAAAGGAAAAAAAATTAAAATTTGTTTCAAAGAATTTGTAAATTTTAAAGTTAAACTTTAGAAGTAGTTAAAGTAATTCCACAAAGTCAAAAATTCTCTTCATATTAGCCCAATGCAGCAAAACCTCGACTTGCATATGTAACAGATTTGTAATATATTTTTGACAGCTGTATAAAAGCAAAACAGTAAAGACAATTCAACTGACAGTTCTGAATCGTTGACAATTCAGAACTGTTTATTAACAAATTTGATTCGCAACATTTACTTGATTTGCAAAACATGCAGCGCAGTATTGTCAATATTTCGCAATATTCTGTGTTTATGAAAACCCCTAATTTCTTTTAAAATTTTTAATAGGATTCTTATACATTTTTGCTGTTTATTTTAATAAATTCTCTGTAAGAGATTTTTAATAATTTAATATTCAGTTTTTAAATAAAATACAAAATATTTATTTAAAATATTAAAATCTCGTATTCATATTTGAAATACGCTCTAATAAATAAAGAATTTTAAAACCAAAGAAAACTTTATTTTCCATAATAATATTAATGCTCAAATTGAATTTCATTTAAAATAACCAAATGACCAACATATGTCAAGAGTTTTATGTCAAAATCAATATTAAAAAATTAGAAGAGAAACTTTTAAGAATTTTAAATCCAAAAATTATAATTTTTTTTATTTTCGTATAAATATTCAAATCTGAAATTTTTTTGTTTTAAATTAAATCATTGAATATTAAGAATCTTTTAATTGCCAACTCCAGTTTTTTTTTTTGAAAAATCAAATTCAATATTGAAATAATGAATGCAATTTACTCTGCCGTACAATTATAAGATATAAAACTTTATGTATACAGTCTGAACTTGTAACGTGGTATAATTGCTCGGGGCTAGAAAGATGCGACAATCTTATGAAAAAAAAAAATTGTTTCTGGGGGAGTTTAAAATTTTTGGTTTCGACAAGAAGTTGTATCGACTTAAATGGCAATAACTTCGACAATTAATAACTGATTTAAAAAAATTAATATGCAATCAAAAGCTGAATAGTAACTCTTTATTTCCTTATTAACAAAAACTTGTGTACATATTTTTGAGCCAATTTCGAAGGGAGTTTAAAGAATACAAAAAAAAGTAATGAAAAATGGTGTTTTACTTTATTGTTAAATGGCGTCTTGAATTTGAATATAAAGCTTGAAAAAGCAAAATTGTTCTCAAATAATTTTTAGTTTGTTTTTAACCATTCTATCTTCTTGTTTTGGAAGTATCATCCAGTTTGAGAATCGGACGCTGCATAATATTTAATTAAAATAAGAAAAGGGTATGAAATGCTTTATCTAGAAAATAGTTTTTGGGCCAACTTAGTTTAATTTACATAAGTTTTCCTATGAATATTATGAACAGGCCAAGAAATTTATAATACACTTCAAGTACAACTTCTCTGCCAAAACAAATTTGAAAATATTTTTAGCAATGAATCCTCAAATCCTATTCACATTCTACAACAAAACAATTCACTTGTTTTTTAATAAAAAAGAAGAGAAATAATTTCACTTGCTTTTCAAAATATTTTTAGTTCTAATATTTTTATTTTAGATTTTCCCTCTTATTATCCTTTTTATCCATATTTGAATTCCTTTGAATTTTTCATGACAGAACCTTATGGGCATGTGCATATATTTTTCTTCAAACATAATATTCTAAAATTTTATATTTATTTATTTTATTAAATTTATTTCACATATTTTACATATGAAAGTCACCTGAATATTAAATTTATTTCATGCATGTTGTTTATTGTTTTTTTCTAGATTCAAGTAAATTTGACAAAAATAAATATTGTTATATTGTCACACATTATGCATAATATATTAAAAATAATGCAATTCTAAAATAAAGTATGCAATTTGGTAAAAAAAAAAAGAAAATTGTCAAAGAAAAGGATTCTTTAAAATAAATAACATTCCTTTAAAAGACATACATATGTAAATAAAAATTTTTGTATTGTTAAATTTTCTTTTTTTAAATTTTCATTTACTCTTTCTTTTTACAGGAGATGTTACAGTTAGTTACATACAAGGTTTACCACATATGATTATACCGTTACCTAGTCGAAATGAAAAATGTCGTTTCACATTAAAACCAGTTTCGCACAATGTAGGTGATTTTATAAATATGTTAAAATCAGAAGATCGAGGTATCGATCGAGCAACTATACTTAATCGTGATGGTGTTCGAATTGCATCAACATGCAGTATAGAAAGTTTAATGGACGAACCATTTATGTAAGTATATATTTAAAATATTTTTATAATTTCATTCCTTGCTGTATTATCAAATAATTTAGAGATTTAATAAAAATATTTTGGAAATGTGACGTTACTCAGTTGAAAATATCGATAAATTTTGAGATGAAATTCATTTTACTCTTATTAAAGTTTTGCAATTTCCGTCAAGCAGTACGGTAATGCCTGCAAACTTGTTGCCATACTGTATATGAGTAACTAACGTATTTAGAACATTTTCCAATATAGATTTTATTATGATACTTATACATAAGACAATATCAATTAAAAGAAAAATAAATTGGCTTCGGGCATTTATGATTATAAAGCATTTTTTTAAAATTTGGTAAATTTAACATATGCAGGGTATTTCGCATAAGATGGCAAATAATTTTAGAGATGATTCTCTAATCAATTTCCACCCAAAAATTGTATGGTTGGGGGGAGAGGGAAATTGAGTTTCTGTCGGGGCTTAATTCTCAGGTAATTGGCTTAATTCACAGGTAATTAATTGGTCTTTATTTTCGGTCTTACAATCAATTTCATTTGAATCACGGTTTTTCGAGATAAAGCTCACCAAAATCAGAGTTTTTGGTTTTTATTTGAATTTTTATACCCGTACGAACGTATGTTCGAAGGGTATACTAAATTTGCCTTACCGTTTGTAACGCTAAGAAATAACGGTCTTAGATATAGACTCAAGTGTATGTTTTTGATCAGCGTCAATTTCTGAGTTGATTTAGCTTTATCTGTCCGTCCGTCCGTCCGTCCCAACGATAACTCAAAAACTAATTGAGCTAAATTCACCAAATTTTCACAAATGATTTATTGTAGTAAGTGCCAGAACCCTATTTAAATTGAACATGATCGGGGTGCTGGTTCGGGTAGCTGCCATACAACTTCAAAATTTATTTGGCTATATCTCAAAAACTAAAAAAGTTATGATATTGAAATTTCACACAAATGAATATATTAGTAGGGGCAATATGTCTTATAAAAGTCGTTGAAATTCCTTGGCTCCTTCTGGTACCTGCCATACAACTTCAAAAGTTATTTGGCTATATCTCAGAAACTATAAAAGCTATGCTATTGAAACTTCACACAAGCGAATATATTAGTAGGGCCGATGTGCTTGATAAAATTCGTTAAAATTTCTTAGCCCTTTCTGGTAGCTGCCATACAACTTCAATAGTAGTTTGGCACACACAGTATTTTGAAAAACACATGTTACTGAAATTTTGCATAAATTAATATGGTAATACAGCAACTTAAAGTCATAGTCTGTCGCATAGTCAGTTATGACATGTCTATTCGCACATGGGATAACAAATTCGTACGGGTATCACAGAGTTCACAAGGTCAACTCTATTTTTTTCTCGTTTTTTTTTTAAAAATCCGAAATTTTTCGAAAATTTGTGTTATTATTTTTTCCAATGCGCGCCGCGATAAGAGCTAAAAGTTAGTCCATATAACACTTTCCTCTATCTCGCATAGTTTTGCCAGCAAACCAGGTGTTTCACACATTTCATACAAATTCCATATTATACATATATAATAAATTAGTATGTGTAATGTTTTTGCATTATAAATATACGAACGTAGAGAATAAATATTTATATATAATTCACCCCAGCATTTTAATATATTCAATCTTTTACTTTTAAATTTGCAATTTTTTTAATTGAAAAATAATTTATGCACATATTTACATACACTTCAATATTGATAAAACCACAAGCAAAATGAAAGTTTACTCATTCTTCTATTTACCTATTAAAGCATACTACATAAATTTGAGATTATTAAAACAGTTCTCTTTTTTAAAATAATACATACATTTGTGTGTACGATCATCATATAAACTTATATATAAATGCAGTTTTACATTCTTGTAGCACAGCAGAAGAACAGATAATTATTCATTATTACATTACAATAACATTAATAACTACCACAACTATAACTACATAATGATTTACCACATTAAGAAAAGAGAATTTTTAAATAGAAATGAGTTGCTATTTGAGAACTAATACCACTTGAATAGATGATAATAACTTTTATATTTAAAACTTTTTACAAAAGATATCTACATGTGTACATGAATAAAAAAGGATATTTTGTATTATTATGCTTCATCTATAAAAAAAAAGTAATCTAATTATTTGCAAAGATAAAACAAAAGAAATTTTACAATCACATTTAAATTTATCAGAAAAACAAAAATGACAAGTAAAATAAAATCATTTTCAAAATTTATCAAAAATTATTCAAATGAATTTAAAAACTTAATTTGCATATTATTTTCTCTTAACAATTAAATTGTAATTTGAAAAAATGAGTAATTAAAAATTTATTATTTTTAAACTGTTGATCATTAAAATTTTAGAGTTCATTAAATTATATTGCATATTTTTAGGGGCAATTTATACATAATTATGTATTCAACTTTAAAATTTACAATGAAAATTGTGAACTTATTAAAAATTATTTTAAGAAATTATTTAAAATTTTAAAAAAATTCGACAACTAGCCTGACAAAGTTAACAATCAATATGGTTATTTAACTTTCGAACTTTAAACTTTTAAAGAACGATATTCTTGCAATTTGAACTCAAACATTTCTTCACGTGTATGTCAAAACAATGAATGTGTTTTTTTTATAAGTTTTGAGTTAAGGATACCAAATTATTTCTGTTTCTTAAAGAATATTATACCAAAACCATACAAGTCTTCATCTACTACGAAACCGTTCGAAACTAAAATTTTTTTAAATTTTGAAGAAATAACAAATAATTTTGCATCCTTAATTTGGTTTTCATTGACCCAGTAATTATACAGGCTATAGGTTAATACCATTACTATTGTTATTACTATTGCGAATATACTAATTTTGAGAGTACATCCACATATAAGCTGCAATTTTAAGCCTACATTGTTATACAATCCATTTTTTTTAATGAAATTGTTCAAGTAGCAAAATTTCAACAAAACAAATTAATATTTCTCATAAAAACTTTGTTAATTTAGAAATTCTAAATATAATATGAACTGTTATATAAAATGGTGCATAAAATTTACTCTGAGTAATATTGCAAAAACATAAGAATTTCCTTTTTATAATCAAGTTCTTAAACTCAAATTCTTTTTATATTAATCTTACTTTGTATAATTTTTTTTTTCTTAAAATTCCAGAAAATTTACAAACCATTCACATATAATTCATAATTTCTTTATTACCTCTCTCTTGTATAACAAAAAAAAAATTCAAAATATTACTTTTATTTTTCTTGCTATTTACTGAATAAAATATATGAAAATTTTTACTTATATGCAATTGACACAAAAAAAGAAATTCTTGAATTTTTAAAATTTCCTATTGCACCATATGTGTTGAATATAAAAGCAAAAAGTAAAATTATAAAAGAATTAAGGATTTTATGTATGTATAACATGTGAGTATAACATAAAGCAAAAATGTTAATTGAGAAAAAGAATTTCTTTTCTGCAATTGTTGTAAAAAAATTTGTGTTTACTTCTCGAGCCAAAGATGATTTTACAATATAAAAATTAATATAAAAAATTTCTTGCCTCCTTCTTAAAATAAATTCACTTTAACTACATTCATATTTCATTACTAAGTAAACACTTTTTTTTTTTTGTTACTTAATAAATATAAGAAAATATTCCGTAATCAACATCTTTCCATATATGTAGTTAAAATAAACAAAATAATTATTCCTTTCAAGGATTTCCCATACTAAACTGGCTTCTTCGTTATTAATTAACTAAGAAATAAAGAAATGCAAGGTTTGGTTTGATCACATCATACATATTAAGTGACTTTATATAGGCAACTTCGACAGTAATTTGTTACAGATTGCTTGGTATTTAAATTGGTAAATCCCCAGGCAACTTTAGCAATTCGTGACTTGTTCTAGTCTGCCTGTGCTCCCGCTTATAATATCCCTGTTCCAAGTATAAAACTAAAGATATCACCAAGGGAATTAGACAGTAAGTACCGAATGCTCAGGAAACACTGAACAAAAAAATTGTGACGCCGGATAGCCAGTACCGGGTAGTCGCAATGAATGTGAACGGCGGTCTCGTCAACAAACCCCCCTCCCTTGAAATTTGCACAAAAGGGAGTACAATTTCGGACCTCCTGCTGTTATGGAGTGTATCGATTTCATACCCCGCTAATTGTGAAAACAACAAAAAAACTAAACTAAATTATGCAAGCAAAAAAGAAAATATCTACTTTTTTTTTAATAGGATTACTAAAACTCGCATATTTTGCTTTGGAATATAACGTCACACCTTAAGAATTTGCAAAAGAAGGAGAGAAGGAAGGTGTTTTTTTAATTGACTTACATTGCTATAATCGACTGCTTACTTCGTCTTATTGCAATTATTTTACAAATTCATTTTGTTTTAATTACAAATTAATTTTGGAAATTGAAAATTTATTACCTAAAATTCTCGATTATTGAATAGCTCCTCATAAAACACATCTTTTTTTGCGACTAAAATTAAATCAGTATATTATTTTCTACTTTCCACATATTATAAGTCATCATTAAAATATAGAATACCTAATTTAATAATAACCGCTGACTTATATTTCTAAAATCATATGTTTAAACGCCACTAAAACAAAATCTTTATCCCCGAAATAAAATAAATTTTCTTTAACACACTTTTTTAAAAATATGAATATTTTCACTCTTAACTTATCTTATATTTTAATATATGTACTTATAATTTAATATTTTTAAATTATCCTATAAAGACAATATTCTAATGTGTGTGTACTCGACGTATAGCATAAAGTCATTTTAAATCTCTAAAAAGTTGTGGTATTTTAAAAATTATTGCTATCTACATAAATCTTGAAGTGACGGAACTATAAACTTTATAATCCTTATATACATTCGTATACAAACATCCTTTTAAAATTTTCCATGCATTTATTATGAAAAGAACAAGAACTCAACATAAAGTTGTCAAACGATAATACAAAAAAATTCACAATTGTTTATAAGGTTATTTAAATAAGTTGTTGTTTTCGTCTACAACTTAAGAATAGTAAAATTTTTTCTAAAAATAAAGAAATTTTTTCCTTTTTTATTTTCTTTTATATAAATGAAATTATTCTTTGTAGCATAAAATAATTTTTTATGAAAATTGTTCATCTGTAAAAAAAATTGTTGGAATGAAAAAAGAAATGTACAACGTACACAATAAAATTATTAATAATTGAATTGCATTTAAAGGCCAACAGATGACGCTATTATAATTAACACTAACAACAGCTAACAAATATGTAGTGTAATTAGTTTATAAATTTTTGCTGTTGAGACTTTCAATTGTTGAGACGCCACTATAAAAACAACTTATTTTTAATATTAAAAATTTATTTAACAATTATTTTATGTGATTTTATTAAATGAAAATAAAAATATTTGTTTAATTATCTTTATGTTTTTTTTTTTTATTTTAGATTACATATAAATGATAAAAGATATGACGTTGTTCCTCCTCCAAGAGACAGAATTAATATGGAAGATTTAAATAAAATAGGTGATGTTCGAGCTCTCGTTGCACAGGTAAAACTACAAGAGAAATGAAAAACAAATTATAATTTTGTATTTTTTTGAGATTCTTTAATTATTTTTATATTTTCAGTTATATGAAGCACTTCATGTAGGTGAATATCATATTAGGAAAGAAAAAGAACTTTTAGAAAGATTAGAAGATCTCAAATATAAATTAACTCCATTAGAAGACGTAAGTATATTGTTACTTTTGAAATTTCTGCTATATTTAATACCCGTTTAGCTGCTTCCCGTTTAACGGCGTCTCCCATTTAGGTGCGTCAACTTGTTTAAGAACCCTTCTCTATTACATTCAATGTCAAAAACAAACAAAAACAAACCAAAAAAAAAATATTTTTTAAAGTTTTTGAAAAGTAAATATTGTTTTCATACAGTGCGCATACGTCTAATGTCAAATAAAATTTAAGAATTAAGTCATTTAAAATTTTGCGGGCTGTTACCTATTTAAAAAAAACAAAAGGAAACTCTTTGAATTCACGTGCATATCTTGTAAGTAAAATTATCAAATGTTGTATAAAATAAAAGTAATTGCTTTTATTTGCGCAGTTTGGTTAACAGCTCTACTCGGATAAGTGCTTACGAAAATTGAATTTTTTTGAGACGCACTTAAGCTGGCATCACACTATATACATGAATTTGGTATTAAAAATAAATTTTGCAAAACGAACAATATTCTAAGTGAACAACAATGAAAGACAAAATTTGGATTATAAGATAAGAACCGTAAAGGAAAAATCCCCTGCAATAGTTTTTATTAAAACTAAAATTTCAAAGCTTTAATAAATACGGTTTACAAATTTGTTATTGATTAAATATTTCCAAGAGAGTTTGCTTTTTGGGAAAATAAATTTTTAGGTCTCATAATTCGGGACATAAATGAAAATGTCAATTTTGCAATATCACTTTGCATTTGAAATATTATCGCATTGTAGGCACATTGTGTAGCATTTTAAAACTATTTTACTTATTTGTATAACTAGACTATAATTACCCAAAAACGGTGTACAATGTTTGATAAGTATGTCAACTTATAACATCATTTTAGGACCCACCGTCATTTAATCATTACAACACATTATACTAACCGATTACTAGCGTGAAATGAATTTTATTCCAGAAAACATTGAAATAATTTATGGCAGGAAAAAACTAATTTCCTTTCATATATTGTTCATTAATTACAATTTCATATTTTTCTTATTAAAAATCAATTCGTATTCAAAGTTCCTTGCAGTTTTTCAATTTTTCTCGCATATACATTACATAAAATTTTCATTTATAATTTATTGATTCACTGAATCGCAATATTATTTTTTCTCTAAAGGCAAAAAAAAACCATTCTCATTTCAAAAAGGAAAACTTTATTTCGCACTGTTAAAGAACCTATATTATGTACTAAAGTCAGAATAAATATTGCACAATGGAAAAACTTTTTTATGAAAATTTTATTTCACTTTTATTCATAAGTCACCGCCACCCCTCCCACCCATATATATTTAGTTAACATTTACGTTGTTTTTTTTAACATTCTTTGGAAAATCTTTGAGAAAAATAAAAACAATGGAAAAAATTTCTTTTAAGTTTTCCTTATGTTTTCTGAAATCCTATACAGAAATTCTTTCACTATCATTTTGGTTTTCCTTTATGTTTTTTTTTTTTGCTTTGCAATTTCCATTTATTTTCACTAAAATTTGAAGGCTTTCTACAAATATGGAAATTTCTTTAGAGTTTTATGTGTTATACATACATTATATTTGAAATATTGGGTCTTAACGTATAACGGAAAAGTAGAAAATTTAGAAATCTTAGAGAGAAGAGTAGTACGATTATTCAATGATTTGGGGAAAATATTTTATCCTTAAATATTTTCTCTTATAACATTTGATTTTTCTCAATTTTGGGTTTTGTTCAAAAATTTGAAAGATTTTTTGTCAAAAAATAAGTTTTATGTAAACAACTTTAAATAAATTTTTGAAAAAGTGTCACGAAATGGAAAATATTGAAATTCTTTTCTGACACCACATAAGTGCAATAATAAACAAAATTTAGTTACAATTAATTACTAACAAATACCGTTATCATATTACAGGATGTCTTGAAATATTTTGCCTTACTTCTAACATTAGAGTCTTATATTTTGTTTAGAATGAAGTAAAATTTGTTCGCATAATTTTTCTTAAGTTCTTATTGTGAATTATTTTGCAATTTCGAATGAAACTAATATTTTATTTTTAAAGCACAAGTTTCTTCAGATAAATTTAGTTTCCTCTAATATGTGCTCAACTTACTTTTATATTCCTTCAAATTTCCTGGTTAATAATAAAAACGTAATCATCAAAACATGTGCCATTACAGCGTTCCGCACACACATAGATGCATAAATATTCATTTACAAGGCGAATTGCTTAGGCCAAGCATCAATTGCAATGAAAATTAATTTATTGCATGTAAGAGCCAAAACAATTATTATTTAAATCGACTACCAAATTGCCTAGCAAAATCGTCATCATTTGATTTGAATGGAGGAAAAGGATTGTGGAGTGTTAGTAAGCGTAGGGTTTATTAGTATATGTGAGAAGCAAAAAATTTTTAAATTAAGTTTCACGTACAATGAAAAATAGTAAAAACAAAATAAGAGTAGAATCACAATAACGCAGAGCACCCTTACCAACACCAAGATCAAAAAAACCCAGAGTTCAAACCAACGGCCCGCAACATCCTATAGTCAACGGATCATTCCTATTCGGCTCATTCTTACTCGGTTAAATCCGTACTGTGATGACGAACATTGAAAAGCTCTAACGACCTCAAAATATTCGAATTCTCACTAAAAGACAGCCGCTCCAACAAAAACGGCGAAACAACGTTCCCCGAAACAAATTGATCAATGAAAACCCTCTTATATTATAGCATAAACTTAAAACATACTTTAAGTTTAATTAATTAAAACTTTAATAATTATTTCACTTGAAATTTCCACTTATTTTAACAATTTTTTCCCTCAATGTGTTGTTTTTTTTTTATAAAATGTAGGAATGTCATCCGAACAATCACAATTTTCATTTTGTTAAAATAAACAAAATTAAATCAATCTTGAGAAAAAGGTCTAAAACTTTTAATAATCAAAGTTCTATCGCGATATTTCATTTAAATTATAATTATTAAGGTCCAAGAAGAAAAATATTTTTTCTGCTGACTAAATAACTGTTATAATAACGTATGTGTGTGTGTACGCATAAAAATTTTATAAGAAAATGAGTAAAAATAAATTGTTATCAACAACAACAACAAAAACGATTTTAAACCAAAATTCCATGTTAAAGTCTCTTTCCTGTTTTTCCATACCTTGAATTATTCTCGAAATTTTAATAAATTCATAATCTAATTTTAAATCACCAAAACATTTTTCATCACAATAAAAATAATAAAAAAGTTTTCAAACTTTTACCTTGGAAACAAAATCAAAAAAAAAAATCAAAATACTTACTTTAATAAAATTTCAAACTCACATAGTCTCTCACATTTTGAAAGTTTTTCTCATTTTTTACCTTTGAGTAATTTTTACTGCAATTTCCTAAAATGTAACTTGTCTTCATCTCATTTTCGATTACCCACACTAGTTTGTTCTCTTAATTTGTCCCACACTACTTTATTCTCGTTTCTATCAACTGTTGTTGTTTTCTTCGGGTTCAGTTTAGAAGTAGTCTCCGTCACAATATTCTACTCTCTCATCCATACAAAATTTTATAATCGTTATTACTGTAAATATGAAATTTACGTTATTTATAAAATAAAACTTTTGGACAGATTGTATAACAGAATTATAAAAAAAAACTGATGTGATCAGCACATAACCGATCGCAATGTGTATTGTCTAGTTAAGGGAAAGTGTTACAAAATATAATAAAAATGCTTGTTAAATACTTCTTTCCAATTTTTAGGGTATTAGCAAGCTTATAGTTAACATACCTAGAAAAATATAAATTTGGGTCTTAGTAGAGTTTCTCTTTGTGCTATCTGAATCCTATGAAAAGTTCGCTAGTTAGTTTCGGTAATAATATGAAATTTCAAGAAATCCATTCCGTAGATATGATATTAAATGTAAATTTGGCCTCCAGTTCAATTTCCGAGTTCTGGTCGTTTCAGAAAATTTATATGTTCATTGTTTTAATACGAAGAATAAAAATAATAAATTTTAATGAAATCCGTTGATTATTTCTCCTTATATACGCAAAAATGTATATTTAGCTCGTAGTAAACGTCCAGTTGCTGACACCTGATTTCTACCAAAAGTTAGGAGGTTTCGCGGACGGTCAAATGAAGCTTATATATGAAATTTCAAGTAAATCAGTTGAATATTTTCTTCATAATGATAAAAAATGTAAAAAGTGCAATTTCCGAGGCCTGATAAATCCCAAAAGTTGATCAATCCGTGCCATAGTCGAAATAAATTTACATATAAAATTTCATCAAAATCGGTTCAGCCAAACTTGAGATACACGCGTGCACACACAGACTGACAGACCGACAGCTCTCTAAAAATAGTTTATTCACACTTCTCTACCATAGAGAAGTACGTTCCCACCGAAAACTCGATATGCAAAATTTGTTGCCATCACATAACTGTTTATCTCCGTTTCTCTTTCCCTCTCTTTCACAATAAATTGCCTTTTGTCATATTCTGACTAACTGAAAAAATTCAAAATACTTATTTTTTATGAAAGATAAAAAAAAAATGAAGAAAAAATACATTTTTTTTAAAAGGTCCTTGTGGGCACATAAAAGTAATGAAAATGACAACTTTAATGTTTTACTTGTAAAAAGGACAAAATCTGCCGGTTGACTTATTTAAACTGAAAGGATATTATCGTGAATAAAAGTCAAAATAAATGTATTTATGTATGTACGTAAATATATGTAAATGTACAAATATATTTTTATGATTTGATGACAGGACAATAAGTTAAATAACTTTTAATATAAGTAAGGTCATATACCTTAGGCTAAATAAAACAATTATGAATTTTGAAAAAACAGGTAATGTACCTGCTTTGTCTAAAAATTCTAAACTTTTAATTGTTGGAAATAAAAAATCTCCTGTCTAGCTTCTTACATAAGAGGACAAAATTTGAAAAAAAAACCTAATAAAAATACTACTTAAGAAAAAGTAACCCCATCTTTTCGTATTTCAAATTGGAAGGCAACTCTAACCATTTTAATACTCTGCTACATATCTGTTTCAGAGAACGAATTTGTTCTCATTTAAACAACAAACTATGTATGTACATACTCGTCTCTTTTAAAAAAGAGAGTTTTCAGCACATTTTAACACTAATCAAAATTTATAATTTCGAAAATTCGACTATATTTATGCAAGGTCAACTAAACGGAATTTTATTCCAAATGCCAAATAATTTCAAAAATTTATATACTTAGCACTGATCAAATTTCAGCAGCACAAGTTTAGTAACGGGGCCAACATTCCATTATCCAACTTTTCTCACATAACTTTTAGAAAACATTCTTACTGATATCACAGAGTTGACTCTCGTTTATTTTGAAATAGACAAAAATTTAATTATGTATGACAAAAAAATATAATCTATAAGCGAATAAAATTAATCTGAATCTATTGTATTAAAACTTTTAGAAAATTAATAATATAATTTTTTATTTTCTTTTAGAAAAAATTAGAACTAAGTCAAAGGGCAATGCGTAGAACAAATGTTATGACATGGCTTGGTCTCGGATTAATGTCAGTACAATTTGGTATATTAGCACGATTAACATGGTGGGAATATTCTTGGGATATTATGGAGCCTGTTACATATTTCGTTACATATGGTACTGCAATGGCTGCCTATGCATATTTTTGCATTACAAAACAGGTTATTTTTCTTTTATTTTTAATAAAATAAATTATTTATTTAAAAAAAAAATTTAAATTTTTATATATTTTTAATTAAAATTTTTTATATTTTAGGAATATCAATATAGTGATGTTCGTGATCGACAATTTTTATTAACAATTCACAAACGTGCCGAAAAACAACAATTTGATATTGATAAATATAATTCATTAAAACGCCAAATAAGTGAAATTGAATATGATTTAAGACGTTTAAGGGATCCATTAAATTTACAGCTCCCACCGCATTTAGAGAGAGCAGAACAAGGTCCATCATCTGTTAGAAAAATTTTCGATTCATCAAAATCATCTAATACACAATCTACATCATCATCATCATCATCATTAATGCCAACAACTTCAATAATAAAAACAAAATTATCATCATCATCATCATCCAAAAGTAAACCATCAAAATTAGCTACTGGTATTATAAGTCTTAGTAATTTTTCAAGAAGTATTTTAAATTTTACTAAAAAATTAAAAAGATCTTAAATAATATTCCAAGTTTTTTTAATTTTATGTTTCACAAAAAAAATTTTTTAGTTTATCAAAAAGTAAGAAAATTAATAGAAATTATAAGAAAATTTATTTCAAATAAATGTTAAAATATTTAATGAATGCATACAAGAGAATAACGTAAAAATTTAATTAAAAAAAAAAATTTGAATTTAAAAATTAAATTTATATAAATATATAAAATTAATTACAATCCGTAACAGATTAGGAATTAAAAATTCATATTACATTTTGTAGGATTTATTAAAAATATTTTTAATAAGTTTCTCTTTTTCCAATTCAATCAATTAACCTTTTTCTAATAGAATTTCAAAAATTTTCAATTCTTAATTCCTAGTCTTTAATTAAATTTTCAATAATGCTCATAATTGATCCGAATATTTATTTCTAAATTTTCTCAAAAAAAAATTTTTGGAAATTTTCAATGCTTTCTTGCTATACATTATTCTTTTTTACATAAAACAATTTCTTAAGTCCGATTTATAGGTAAAAATGAGAGCATTTCTTTCATTTAATAAAATTTTTTTTTTTCTAATTTCTTTAATTTTAATTATTGTTTGTTCATTGGTCTTAATTTCTAGCAATCACCTAAATTTTGTATCTGTATTATTTTGTAATATTTTATTGAAGTTTGTCCAACGTTTTGTTATTTTAAATGTTCAACGTTTTATAGATTAGATGATGATGATGATGATGGTAAAAAGAAAAAAAAAAATGCTTTATAAATAACATTTTGTTGCAAAATTGTCTTGTCCTTCCTCTTTCTATAATAAAATTCTTAACAATTTGTGTAATATCGTAAAGTTTAATAAGTTTTGTTAAATAAAAGTTTTAAGAAAAAAAAAAATTAAACATTACAAATTTAAAACTCAATCAGATTTTAGAAAGTATTTAAAATTTATTACATTTTTTCCTAATTTTCAGTTTATTAAAAACTATAATTTTTACAAAATTAGAAAATTGTCACATCTCTGAAATCAGGACATCAGGTTTGATTGCTTAAAATATTGAATTTAAATAAAACTAATAAAAGCAATCAAAGATGTGACCAAACATTTAATTAAATGGTTTTTTCCCATTAAAATGCTTATTATTTTAATTTTATAAAAATAATACTTTCTTATGCATTAATTAAAATAAAATTTAAATTATTATTAAAATATCGTCAACGTTTTCGACAAAGTTTATCAATTAAATATCGATTAATGAGAAATTTTAATAAGAAGAAAATTGAACGATCTTTCCCGACACACGATATTTTATTTTTATTCGTTTTTCTTATAAAACACAAAGATCTCATATTATTTTAATAATTTTCGTTAAACCAAAACATATTTTAAAATTAATTTGACTGAAATTTTTAATTTTATCTAAAAGATCTCTTAATTTTTAATACAAATAACTTTTATATACTAACTCTTAATTATTTTATATTTGGTATTCATTAATTTATTGTTACTTATTTACTTATTTTTTATTATTTTATAATTATTAAAAATAAAAAATGTTCTCATATTTTACTAAAAAAATATTCTATAATTATTAAAAATAATCTTTATATTCATATTAAAATACAATATTATATAATTTTTCCATTCATTAAAGTTAACACTAGATTTAAGTTTAAAATAAAATTAAAAATACAATATACTACTACTAATATATATAGTTTTACATAACAAAAAGAACAAAATTAATATTATATAAAATTTAAAAAAAAAATCAATTTTTTGTAATTATAATAAAATTTCATTTTCATTTAAGATATTCTAACAAAAGTAACAAAATGCCGTAAATATACCTATATTTTATTATTAAAAAAAAAAAAATATAAAAATATTTTATATTAAATTTTTATATACAAAAACAAAACCGGAAAAAACAAAAAACAAACTATATTTGAATTTTTATTTTAAAATAATAATTTATTTTGTGGTTTTTTGGTTTTTTATCTAAAAATAGACAAAAAAAAAATATTTTAATAATTAAATTTTTTTGTAAATATTATAAAATAATTCATTGCATATTAACCTGTTATTAACCTGTAATCTGTTACATAATAGAACAAATCAGTTGCGAAAATTTAGATTTTTATTATAATTATCAAATTTTATAAAATATATTAATTATAAAATACATATTATTTCGAAGAATTCAAGAATATTCGATTCCAAATGTAAAAAGAAAGGGCCAATGTATTTGTAATTCAAATACTTTTGAAACATAGCTGAAAAATAAAAAATTACAGATCAAAGAAAATATTATTAACTAATATTATACACAATTTTCGATTTTACTAGCATATTATATGAGGGGCTCAGAAGCAAAGTAATCTAATTCTCACCCCTAGGCTACTTTTGCACTGGAAAAAAATTAAATTTTTGAGTTTAGACTAAAAAAAAATATTTGATTTTTTGAAATATTTGATTTTTTTTCTTTACTAAAATTAAATTTACAAACTAATTTTATATAACATTTCTAACAAAATGGAAAAATTTTGAGAGTTAGGGTTAAGTTACTTTGCTTCTGAGCCCCTTATATATTATATGCATATAATTTAATTTTCAATATACTTATTTTATAATTGATATACACTATATTAACTGATTAATGTTCTATTCTATGTAAATTGCTTTAAATGTTTTGCAAAATATATTTAATGTTTTTTTTTATAATAAAATCATTTGAAATGTTTCTTTGAACTTTCTGTTTTGTTTTGGTTAATATTGTCCCAAAATCAAATAATAAAAATATTGTGAATGTTAAATTTCTTGTTTAAATAGACATATATACACATAATAATATATAAAAAAAATATTATATTATATAAACTTATTAATTTTTAATTGTTTAATGTTTTCTCATTCTATTTTTTTTTTTTGTTTTCGTTAAAATACAAATATATTTTAAAATAGTTTATGGTTATATTTTTTTTTTATAATTATATAATGGTTTTGTTTTGTGGAATTAGTACTAACCAAGAAAGCTAAAAAAAAAAAAAAAATTAATATTAAATTTATTATTAAATTAATTCAACAAAACAAAAAAAACATAATTTCAATTTCAGATGAAAATTCCTGTGAAGAAAAAAGATAAAGATCAACAAACTGTAATGAATAAGCAAAAAGAAAATGTTAAAAAAACAAAAAAGCAAACCATCGAAATTAAAAAAATCAAATTGAAAACAAATAATAATAATAATAATATATCAAATAAAAATAAAAAATTATAAATAATTATTTTATGAGTACTCATTAAATTTTATATTTTATTTATGTATAAAAGAAAAAATACATAATTGAATATTTAAGTTAAGCAAGAATATTAAATGAAATATTTTTTTTTAAATCAATCTTAATTAAACTGCAATTTACAAAATAATCAATTTTTTTAAAAATATTTTTGTGAATCTCAGTAATTATACAATATTAAATTAACAATTTATATATTAATACACAAATATTATACATTACATTTACATATTTAGTTTTAATTATTAAAATTTTAATTTTTGAAAATTTTGTTAATATTTAATATGGTTAAGTTACTAAGACAGTTTAGTTTATAAAATCAGAATTAAAACAATTTTCTCTCAAAATTGTAATTAAAAATTAAAATTATAACAAAAATTAATAATAATTTTCAATTAGGAATTTTGATTTTCACAATTTTTAGCAAAAAATTCAATTTGTTTTTCCCAATTTTTAGCAAACTATGATTATCAAATTAACTGTTTACGAAAAATTTTGATCTTTCTTAATCAATAATTTTTAATAATTTTTTAAATAATAATATTTTTTAATTAATAATTCTTTTCTTTAATAGAATAATTTAAAATTTGTTAATTTGTTACGATATTGATCCCCTACAAAAATTTCCTCATTATAAAGTATTTTCAAATCTTTTTAAAGTCCGACTTTTCTAAATTACAAAAATTTATGTAACAATTTAAATATATAAATATAATAAGTAAATTTGTACAAAAATTTCCAAAAAAAGCAAATTCCTAAATTTAATAAAATTACAATCTTTTAAATATTAACAAAATTTTTTAAAAATTTATATGAGTACTTTTTCATTATAAATATTGTATTTAATTGCGTTTTGTCAATAATAATTAATAATAAATTATGCCATCTTGTTTATTAATTTTTTGACATAAAATATAAAATACATACTTTGAAATCTATTAATGTAAATTGCATTTAAAATAAAATTTAAAATATAATGTCATCAAATCTAATAAAAACTTGTAATAAAATAAAATTCTATTCTTTCAAATATTTTATAAAAAAAAAAAACATTTTTATTATAATTTTTATTTTCTTATATAAAAATATAAATTTTTTTTTTTACAAATTGCCTCAAAAACGCATTAAACAATAGTTTAACTATTTTCATTTAAATATTTCATATATAAAAAACTACTTCAATAATTAAAAATTTTTAATTAAATTAGTTTATTTAATAAAAAGAAAAACAAAATGAAATTATTAAAATTTTATATTTGTAAATTGGAAATTGTTGCCCCTTTTTAGTAGAATGAAAAATAAAAGTATTTAATACTACTACTTCTTTGAAAATGATGTATAAATATAAATAAACAAAAAACAAAATTTAAAATGAAAATTAGATGAAATTTATAAAATTTAAAATAAATTATTACAAAGATTTTTTAATTATGAGTAAGTAATCAAAAAATATTTGTACTTAATAAACTTTTAAAGTTAATATTATTAAACTTATTAAATACAATTAATAATTAATAATTTTTTTTTTGTTTTTGGTGTATTTAATTAAGTAGTGTAAAAATTTCTTTTAAATTAAATTACAAAATACTATTTTAGTAAATGCAGTAAAAGTGTTTTGTAAAAATCAGTTTTTTGTTTTTTTTTTATATTATTTAAAATATAAAATAATTTTTTTTTTGGCCATATAGCAAAATTTATTTAAAATTCTTAATAATCATAAAAATAATATTTAAATCACATAATTTTTCTTAATAATTTTATAAAAATTGTGATTAACCAAAATATTTTTTTGTATAATTTTAAAAAATATATATATATATATATTTGGGTTTAGTTTCCTATTAATATTGTAGATCAAAAATAAAAAATATTGCAATTCTTATAAAAAAAATTTTGTTACAGAACTACTTATGACATATAATTATAATTTTTGTATATTTTGTAAAAGTAAATTACATAATAATATGAAAAATAATTTAAATAATTTTTGGTTTGATTTGTAATGTCCTTTAGTTTCTAGTATCTAGTTTTTTTTTTTTTTTAATTTTTTATATATTTTTATATTATTTTATTTAGTTTTGTTTTATGTTTAAGATGTGTATAATTAAAATTTTTGTTTGTACTTTTTTTTTGTACCGGACTGTTTAAATTTAAAAAACAAAAAATGTTATTTTTAGAATATATATATATATATATAAAATATATTAGTTTTAATACATTATTAACTTGCTTATTTTATAAACTTATAACTATAAAATATAATAAAATATTTGCTTTTGGTTTACATCAATATTAAATTTGTTTTAATTTTATTTTATTATTTTTTTTTTATTAGTTTCTTAAATTTTTAGTTTTGCCATTTTTCTTAATTATACTTTATTAATTATATCGACTGAAATTACTAATTAAAATTTGCAAATCCATGCGTACCAATAAAATGGTAGATTAAACCTATTCTAAATGGTATCTTCTTATTTGATAAAAGCGATTTTTCTTAAAATAGCCAATTAAAACTAATGAAATCATTTTGAAACAATTGGTTAAAATTTTTGGTTGAAAATACAAAATTATATTCGATAACACGTTGCACAAGCTAAACCAAACTTAGACCGGATGAAACGAATGAGCAACAAAATTTATCATTATTTCAAATAAAAATAAAACTAATTAAAAATAAAATTTTGCAAATTATCCGAATAATAATTGTATTGCTAAAGAAATATCAAAATAATTAATGAGTTGTTAACTATTTTTTCATTTTAATCTTTCATATAAGATTATTAAGAAAATTGTTGAACATAAAAATTTAACTAATAAATCGTGTTGAAAGAAAACATTACATAGACGAGATAAGAAGGAAAAAAATAATCGTAAATATATATATATATATATATATATATATATATATATATATATATATATTTACGATTATTTTTACGATTATATATATTTACGATATATATATATATATATATATATATATATATATATGTATATAAATAAAAACAGGTTATCAAAATTGAATAAGAAAAACATTTACAGGTGTTAATTAGGATAACAATGCAGCAAAAATTATTGCACCTAAAACGGATTCATTAAATTGTAAAAATTCAAAAATTGGAAAATTTATAATTTTCATAATAAAAATAAAATATTCAATATTCTTGCAAAATAATTTCATACAAAAAAAACCATAAATCAACTATTTTTATAAAATTATAATAAATAAATTATAATTTAACAGTTAAAAATATGGAAAATTAATTATAAAATTTCAAAAATAAAAATAATAAAATTAACACCAAAAATAAAAATAAAAACAAACATCCTGTTCGTAAGATCCCCTAAAATACTTAGAGAGAAAATACTTTAAAAAAAAATTTTTTTATTTCTTTTCATTTTTTTTTTGTAAATTTCGAATAAAATAAATATTTCGAACATTAAATCTACCATTTGAAAGTTATAAGCTAATTAATTTGATAATATTTTTAAACTGTATGAAAATTAAATTTTTTTTTAGTATTGAATTAGATTAGATGACAGATAATAAAATATTCAAGTGAAAGCTAATAAAATACTTAAATCATGAAATTATAAAGCAATGAGTTTGATAAAACATAAAACAGTGTTAAAATTATCAATTGTATACTGAATGCTTTTATAAAACTAAAACAGAGTTGAAATAGAAAACAAAATTAGAATAGAACTGGATTTACATTATGATTATAATATTTTGGTCAAATTATTTTAACCGGCACAGCGTGCATAAACTTCAATTTATTCTTCGGGCAATTATTTAAAGAAAATTTTAAATTTATTTAATGAATAGCATTTGATAATAAGAATCCAGAAATCAGAATATGTCCAAAATATTTTATATTGTAATAAATTTTTTTATTAACACAATTCTAAACCCCCCAATGGTTGCAATTATTTATTTCGGTAATATTGTAGTAATTTGCAATATTTGTAATTGTTTTTGTCGGGAAAATACATAATGGCTGAAAACGTCCGCGAAAATATCATGCCTAAAGTTTACATTAAAATTATTTGCGAATATCAAAACAAAGAAAGTTGATAAATAATTTAAAATTCAAAATATGTAAAAATTTAATTATCGTACAGTTTAGCATAAAACTTAAATACAATTAAAATAGTTAAAATTCAAGAGAGTCGTAATTTATAAACGATACGTACTTTAAAAAAAAAATTAACTTTTTTAATTAATAACATGTATATAATATGTATATAACCATATATATATATATATATATACATTAATAGGTATATGAAAAAAAAAAATAACCAAAATTATATAACAATATTATAAAACGAAAAACTTAAAATTACTAATAAATTTAGAAAAACAGAAAAAAAAACTAAAAAATTTTTAAGTATAAAATAAAAACAAAAAAAAAAATAAATTTAATTTTTTCTACCCATTGATTATAAATTGTTAAATTTTTAAAAAACCAAAGTAAAAATTGTTGAATTTTTAAAAACCAAATATAAAAGAAAAAAAAAACCAAAAAAAAAAATAAAAAACTTTTTACTAAATTTAGAAGAATTAATTAAAATTGATTGAATAAAAAACTACAAAAAAAAAAAAAAATTTACTACCCAAATCATTAGTTGTTATATTATAAAATATAAAAATAATTTAAAAATTGTTTAAATCCTAATAAAAAAATACTTTATTGTAAGATTACATTATTGTATAATATAATTTACAAAATACATTAAAATATCTTAAAAAAAAGAAAAATGAAATATATATAAAAAAATCTTTAAGCTTTGTAACTTTGCTTTAATTAGAAAAATAAATAATTTTGTACATATTAACAAAAAAAAAGAAAAATATTAAAAAATAAACTTAAAATAACTTAATAAATTTAAAAATATTAACAATCCCTAATATTATTATACATACATTAATATAATCGTAATTGACTCCTTTTGTGATTCGTTTGATAAATAACTCAAATTAAAATATTATTATGTACTAATTAAAATTATATAGGTATATTTAAAATTCGAAAATATTATATAAAATTTTGAATAATTAATTTCAAAAATAAAAA